GACTTTTCGTTGCGCGTTAACCTTTCTTGCTACGTACTATCGTCGTATATTCGCTCGTCGCGCGTCTCGCTCCCCTCCCCGTTTCCTCCAATTTTCCATCTCTCTCTTTCTCTCTCCCTCCCCTTTCGTTTTCTTATCCGTTTCTTTTCTTCGTGAAAGACATGCACGGCGTACCAATCTAGACGAGTTCCTCCCTATTCTGCACGAGTGTGCGTATCCTCTCTCTCTTGGTTTGGGATCCTCCAGCGAAGGATCTAGCCTCTTTGGACGTTGATTTATGCGGCAGCCACCTGAACCCCGCGCCCTTCGTGTTCGTTAGGGTCGCAGACAGCCGCGTCTTTCGGCGGCCTCTTAACGAATCGAGATTCGGCGAGTGGTTATGCAAATACGAAGGACGGCTGATCGTCTCTAGATTCGCGTTATATAATGTTATGCTAGTTCGATGTCTTTTTTCTTCTTTAAACAGAGGAGGAAAAAAAAAGAATAGAGGAGAAAAAGCGGCGAGAAGAACCAACTTCGTTCTCGAGTTTAATTAGGACCACCGTAAAGGGATTGAACACGTTTTTGTTGCATCCTGTTCGAACGGGGATGGGGAAAGGATTTTATTGGAGACGAAGTGATGGCTGATTATGGGGCGAGATAGATGATATGGGGAAAAGGATTTGTTTTAAAAATAATTTGACGCGGTTTTAGAAGGGATCAAATAAAGTAGGAACCAAAAATTTGTTATGTATGTGTAAGAGACGTAAATGAATTTCAAAATCAATTAACCAAAAAAACTATTAAAAACTTTTAAGATATTCATAATTAACAAAAAATATGTACTATTCGAGATACGTATGAATTTCGTGATAATTTTCAATGTTATTATAAATCTATTGTTCCAATATCATTTATGGAAGAAAATTAGGAGGTTATATTGTCGGAAAATGAATTTAATCTCTAAATGAATTATAAAATACATAAACAACAAACGATATCAATAAACATGCATCGAGAAAAATAAGCGTAACGAAAATATGGAATGATACGAATAAGTTTTTAAATCTTTCTTTGTGAATTCTTTCGAAGAATCGAACAAAGCCTTTCTTTTTTAAAGCATAACTAGAATTTTATCAGTACGCTCCAGTTATGAATTGGGTAACAATAATAGTGTTCGAAGAAATACGATTGCAAGAAAATTGAAAGATAACGTCCATCCATTATTCTAATTGATACGCATACATTATATATAGCAGCACCATGTAAAACATTCCATGTTTGTCCAGTATCGGTGACACATATATTAGCGACAAACTTGCTAAAAGTTGGAGATAACATAGAAAATTACATACGTTACTCTGGAATATTTTCTCGCTTACATTACTCCATACGTTAACCGAACTAATTTGTGTGTTGGAGAATCATTTATGCCTCCTATTCTAAATCGTGTAAATTTTGCTCTTTTTAAAATTTAAAACAGCTTGGAAAACTTGTTATTTGAGACGTAATACGGAATGAGAGATACAAAGGAATCCAAGAAACTAGGAGAATGTTAAAAAGTTTAAAAATTTCTTTTATTATATAACTAACGTGAGATGACAATTTTTTGTTGCAGGCCGGAGTAATGCGACCCACACAGAAGTAAAGGCAAGCAATCAAGGAAAATGGGACTCGTTCGACGGACGAAGCTGCTTCCCAGCCGAACGATGGCTCCCCTGTTATCATTGCTGGTGCTCGCAGTACTGCCAAATGTGCGATTAGAATCGGCAATCAATCCAGTGAGCAACGTGGGCTCGGTATCGAGCGGTTCCTCGTCGTCCTCTTCTTCCTCCTCCTCCTCGTCGATGGTGGGCGGCGTAGCTGGCAGTGGCTCGTCTTCCGGCAGCATGGTAGGGTCTGGTAACAGCGTGGTCGGGGGTGGAAGCAGCGGCGTTGGACACTCGTCCCTTGGCGGTGGAACGGGAGTGAATGGAAACGGGCGTTGCGAGGAGATCACGATCCCGATGTGTCGAGGGATCGGGTATAATCTGACGGCGATGCCCAACGAATTGAATCACGACAATCAGGAAGAAGCCGGGCTGGAGGTGCATCAATTCTGGCCGTTGGTGGAGATCAAGTGTTCCCCCGACTTGAAGTTCTTCTTGTGCTCTATGTACACGCCGATATGCTTGCCCGAATACACCAAACCTCTGCCCGCTTGCAGAAGCGTCTGCGAGAGAGCCAGGGCCGGTTGTGCGCCGTTGATGCAGCAATACGGATTCTCCTGGCCGGAGAGGATGGCGTGCGAAAGATTGCCGGCCCACGGTGACCCAGAGAATTTATGCATGGAACAGGACAACCACACGAGCAGCACCGGATACGGATCCGGTAACGGAGGAGCAGCGAGCAGCGCGCCTTTGCCCGCAGCGCAACCGCGCCCGACCAGGCCGTCCAAGACGACCCAACCACCGCGGTGTAGGCCAGGGAAAAATCAAAAAAACTGCCAGCATCCCCCGGGGGAAAGGGCGAGGGATTGCGTGTGCCGGCGCAGGCCACCCCTCGTACCCCTGGGGGCGGGGGGCACGGTCATTCCGGGACCGATAAGCGGCAGCAGCACCGGAAGCATAGGCAACGGGGCTGGGCTGGCAGGCATGGCCGTAAGTGGGGTCATACCGGCGCCACCGATAAGCATCGCCAGGAACATCATCCAGGACATTGCAGGAGTACCGAATTGCGCACTCCCGTGCCACGGGGCGTTCCTCACCTCCGAAGAACGAGGGTTCGCGGCCGTGTGGCTGGCTCTGTGGAGCGGCCTGTGCGCCGCAAGCACGCTCGTGACCGTCACCACGTTTCTGATCGACACCCAGCGCTTCAAGTATCCTGAGAGACCGATAGGGTTCCTGTCAGCCTGCTACTTCGCCGTCTCGATAGGTTACCTGTCGAGGAGCGTGCTCGGCCACGAGGAGATCGCCTGCGATGGCTCGGCACTGAAGTCGAGGGCACAGGGACCGGAGGCTTGCGTGGCAGTCTTCCTGATGATCTATTTCTTCGGAATGGCGTCTTCGGTCTGGTGGGTGATCCTGGCGTTCACGTGGTTCCTGGCGGCGGGTCTGAAGTGGGGGAACGAGGCGATAGCCTCGTACTCCCAATACTTTCATCTAGCAGCGTGGCTAGCACCGGCGGTCCAAACGTTCTCGGCGTACCTAGCCGGGGGAGTAGCGGGAGATCCGGTGGCAGGAGTCTGCACGGTAGCTCCGGATGGAGTGCGATCGTTCATTCTGGTGCCGTTGTTCGTGTACCTTTTATTGGGAACGAGCTTCCTTCTGGCGGGTTTCGTGAGCCTGTTCAGAATCCGTTCGGTGATAAAACGTCAGCCGGGGGCGAAAGCGGACAAATTGGAGAAACTGATGATAAGAATTGGCGTGTTCAGCGTTCTATACACCCTACCAGCCGGGGTGGTGTTGGCCTGCCATATGTACGAGACGTCGTTAAGAAACGAGTGGCTCGAT